TCATTTCTGGGATGTGGTCCTTAAGTACGATAGGAGCAAGAGAGCCCCCAGCATCCTCGCGTCGCGGTTTGGGATGAAATCCCAGACGTGCTGGCGTCATGAGAAAACCACCACGGGAGTCATTTGACGGTTTCCAGCTTTTACAAGGCCCTCGGCGGGTCCCAGGACCGGATGAAAAGCCAACCCCAGGGAACAGGTCCCCAGGTCATCCGCGAGCAGGAATGTTCGGTGACGGATTCGGGCTCGGCTCCCCTTGGGGTCGGGAGCCTTGAGGCGGGGGTCCATGCAAACGCCCAAGCTTGCAGGATCCTGCAGGGCCAGGGTCGCATGGACCCGGGCTTGGGCGCATGATCCTGCAGGATCCTGTAGGACCCTTCGCGTGGACCCGGGTTTGTGCGCAGCATCTTGCAAGGTTCCGCAGCGCCTGACTGACATGGGTCCGGATGGACCCGTGTCAGCAGATCCCCGATGGGGTCGATCCGGCTCTTCTCGGGTCGACCGACACGGGTGCGGAAAGAATGGGTACAATGCCCAACAGCAGAACCTGTTCATTCGGGTACAATGCCCAATGGGTACAATGCCCAATGGGTACACTGCCCAATGGGTACAAACCAACGGAATGGGTACAATGCCCAATGGGTACAATGCCCAATGGGTACGATGCCCAATGGGTACGATGCCCAATGGGTACAATGCCCAATTCGAACCAACGGAAAGAATGGGTACAATGCCCAATGGGTACCGACTCGCTGTCGGTGTCGCCGCGGGCCCGTGCACATTTGAGACAGAGGGCCGCCTGCCCACCCAGCAGCGGCCGCTGATGGTTCGGGACAACACTTGCCGTTGGGCATTGTGCCCATTCTCTCCGTGCCCATTTCGGGCGTCCAAAGTGTCGAACCCCTTCGGGGGTCCGTGCTGGGCCCCAGGGACCGTTGGAGCCTGCCCTCGGATCGAAGTCAAGGGCGCCCCCGAGGGCGCGAAGCTGCTCGCGCTTCGCGCTTCGCGGTTCGGCTCCGACTCCTCCTCGTCCTCCCCTTCTCCCCTGGGGGGCGGCGCGAGGGCGCGACGTGATTCGCGAAGTGATTTCGGGCGTCCAAAGATGGGGTCGATCCGGCTCTTCTCGTTTCCTTGCACCGTCCCGGGGGCCCCGCGAGGGCCCGCTGCAGGTCGAGGCTGCAGCCCCAGACCTCAGCCGTCGTGGTGCTGTAGCGGTGCGCCGCGGCGCGGAGAGCTCGGGCGCCGCGGGGAGCTCCCGGGCCCCTTTCGAGTTCCGTGGGGCAGGTCCCCCTGCAGGGGAAACATCCAAAGATCGTCAACACACGGGCAGGGGACGATGCTGTCAGATTTTTGGACTACTTTTGAACATTCTGGGACTATTGGGGGCAGGGGTGGGGCTCGCGTGTGGCCTGACTACCCTCGTGCGGGCCGCCAGCTATGGCCCCCCTCGAGCCGATGCGATGCCGGTGCTCTTGCGAGCCGGTGCGGCGCGACGGCGGCTGCGCGGCGCTGCCGTGCGTCCGCCGAGCCGGCGGTCCGATGTCGAGGCCGTGCCGGCGCGTCCCGATCCGAGACCCTTCGGGAGCCTCGAGACGGGGGTCAGTGCAGACGGGGGTCAGCCGACGAGATCTATGCATATCCACTGCTCCTGGCCAGGCCCATCCTGGGCCCAGGAGCGGTGTATACGCCCTCCTGGCCTGGCCAGGGAGGCATATACACAGCTCCTGGGCCCAGGATGGGCCTGGCCAGGAGCAGTGGATATGTATAGATCTCGTCGCCCTAAGCCACGGCACCGGATCCTGCAGGATCCTGCGAAGACCCCCTCTGGCCGACCCGGGATAGCGAGGCGCTCGTGGCCGCGAGGCCGCCGCGCCCATTGGCTGACCCGGGTTTGCGAAGACCTGCGTTGCAGTTTTTGCTTCTTGCATTGCAGTTGTTGGTTTCCTGCTGACCCGGGTCTGGATTGACCCGGGTCAGAAGATCCCCGAGCCCTTTGTGCCGGTTGGATGCTGACTGATCCTGGTCCCAAACAGTGGTGAAGCGTCTTGGCGTGCCAATATAGGCCTACCAAGCACTGTGCTAAGAGCCTTTTTTTGTGGTGTGCACGACATGCTATGAGAGCATTTCTGGCTGGGACAGTCTTGTTTTAACACATCGGGCTTATGTTCTAAGAACCTTGTTCTTGTGTTTGGAACATTCTTGGGTTCTAAGAACTTTTCGGGGCAGGGTATAGGAGTGCCGGGACGGTCGGTCCCTGCTCAATGGTCGGGCTCAGCAGACGGGCGTCAATGCAATCGGGGGTCAGCCAGGGCGCCCAGCAGGATCCTGCAGGGCCAGGGGTGCACCGACCCAGGCGTGGGCGCAGGATCCTGCAGGATCCTTCGCACTGACAGGGGTCTGGGCGCAGGATCTCGCAGGATTCCGGAGGGACCCCGGTCCGGAGATCCCCGACCTGGGTGGTCCGCGGCAGCGCGCCGCCCCCATCCCCGAGCATGCTCGCGCAGTGGCACAGAGGCCAGGGCAGAAGTTTTTTGTTCTTGCTTCCTCCACCGCGTGTTACCAGCCTCGAACATATCCCTATCCCTAAGATTGACATACCAAAAAGCGATGACAATCTCAGGTATGCGCCTTAAAAAATTAAGGGAATCACTAAGATTGGCATCGTGATGAGGAGATGCCCAGTAGAGGGATAGGGATATGTTCCAGGCTGGTAAGCGTGGCGCTGCTGGGGCGCCCCGTCAGAGACAAAGTCGGCTCGGGAGGAGGAGCCGTTCCCCGGGGACCGCGCCTTGGAAAGCAGCAAGACATATCGTCGGACGGGGCCAGGACGAGGATAGCTATACGTTCATGGAGCGCTCCCGAACGCTTCCGGGGAGCGCTCCGGGGAGCGCTCTGCGAAGGCGCCGCGGTGCCCAAGACTTCCTCGCCAGAGCCGCCGGACCTCCGAGATGCTGCTCCACGCGCCTCTGCCCGATGGTGACCCGCGCCCGGGCCCCGTCCCCTGCGAGAGAAGGGTCTCGCGCCGCTTGGGGTTTTTTCCGGGGGGGGCCGCCGGAGAGCCGAGCGGCTCGGGAGGAGAGGCGGGTCCCCGGGGAGAGGGGGCGTCGGCCGGTCGAGGGGGGCTGCGTGGCGGGAGCAGCAGATGGGCAGCGCACGGCGGGTGCCGTCGGGGGAGGCTTGCGCGTCGCGCTTGGGGGGTTCCTGGGGGGCCGCCAGAGATCGGGAGCGGCAAAGAGGGGGGTGATGACTAGGGGGGGGTGGATGTCATGGCGGGGGCCGTGATATTTCCCCCGATTTCCGTGGCGCCTCTTCTCTTATTCCATTACGTCGGCCGGCTCGGGGACGTGGTGGGAGCAGCAGGGCACAGCGCACGTCGGGTGCTGTCACCGCCTTGGCCCTCGCTCCGCCGCCGCCCTCTGGTCTCGGGCCGGACGACGAAAGGGGGGCGAATGGGCAAAGGGGGGGGTTACGACATTTGCGGCATGCAGCTGGCTTTGGCCTCACCGAGGGGCCCATGCCTCGATGCACAGCTCCCTCCAGCGCCGGGCGGCGATGGGAAAAGCAGCTACGTGAGCTGATTCTCACCCCCCCCCCGTTTGCGATCCCCCCCTTTCGCCCGACCCGACTGTCCTGCCTCCCCCTCTCGTGCTACTGGACAATGGGTCACCCTGTGCCCCGGATAATAATGTACCCCCCCCTTCGCCCCTGAATCTGGCTTTTTTTCCCGTGTCCATCGGATTCAGTTGTGGAGAGGGGCGCGGAGGTCGAGTTTGATAATCACCGGGGGGAGTTGTGCATCACAGTTGCTATCATCTCATGTTGACTGGCAACAGCATCAAAAACGCTGAGCATGGCAATAGCGGTTTCACCATTTCGAAGGTGAATCCAAACCATGAGTGACAATTCGCTTAACCGTGAGTGGAAATTCGCTTAACCGTGAGTGATTGAGTGCACGCTGTGAGTGCACGCTGTGAGTGCACGCGGTGAACCCACGCTGTGAGCCCACGCTGTGAGCCCACGCTGTGAGCCCACGCTGTGAGCCCACGCTGTGTTGAGCCCACGCTGAGTTGAGCCCACGCTGTGAGCCCACGCTGTGAGCCCACTCTGTGAACCCACGCTGTGAGCCCACGCTGTGAGCCCACGCTGTGAGCCCACGCTGTGACCCCACGCTGTGTGCCCACGCTGTAAGTGCTCGCTGTGGTGAGCCCACGCTGTGAGTGCACGCTGTGTTGAGTGTACGCTGTGAGCCCACGCTGTGAGCCCACGCTGTCAGTGCACGCTGTGTTGAAACCCACGCTGTGAGTGCATTCGATCACTCACGGTTAAGTGAATTTCCACTCACGGTTAAGATCTACCCTCATTTCGAAGGTTCCGCAATCACGAGCGTGTGGCAGGGCTCTGGGATTCTCACCATTTCAGATTTCCCAAGTCATGAACGTGCGGCGAACGAGGTCGTGCGCAAGAGAGGTTTCTCGGCCAGGAGCGCCAAGGACCTCTCTTGCGCAGGCAAGTTGTAGCCACAAGACTCGAGATCTCTCGAGTCAGTCTTGTGCCAAGATCTACAAAGGTCAGTCTACACGAGCGCCCAGGATCATCATCATCATCATCATCCGCATCATCACCTTCGCCGGGAAAACCGTTGATTATCCCCGCCAGACATCCCCAGAGAGTTATTCTCGGGAGCACGGCGTTATGCTTCGCCCCGGCTTCTAGGGCGCGCGAGCGGATTGCTCCTGCCGCGTCGTGACGAAAAAAAAGTGTGGTACCACCCCAGTTGGGGATACACCCCTCGAACCCCGAAGGGAACGACCTATGTCCCCATCTAGGGGGGTAGATCGGCGATTGATAGCGTTGAAACCAACTGCTTAACTATCGGTATCGTTTCAGACCGATACCCAGGTCTGCACGTGGTTGCCTACCCCAGCCTCGCTCCCAAGGTCCCCGCGCCCTCCGTCGCCAGGCGCCATCCCTCTTCGCCCGCCGCGCGCCTCGGCTCGCCAGCCCGCTGCCGGGCCCCCGCTGCTTACGGTCTACTCGTAGATACTGAATCGCGGGCCGGCCCAGAGCGGGGCGCACCCCTTGCCCGCAGGCACCGGCCGGAGATCCTGGCGCCGATGTAGTTCGAGGCGGGCGACCTGCCTTGCTTCGGGCATCCCGACCTAAGGGGCCTCTGGGACCGAAAGTTCCTTGGGATCCGACATTGTGGGGAAGTTGCAGCAGCGCGACAGTTTGCGACGGAAGTACTACCCAGACGGGCCCCCGTCGTGAACAAATCAGGACGGGATGGGGAAAGGGTCGGGACTTCCTCGGACCTTGTATTGAAAGAATCAGGACATCGTATGTCTGGGTGATCCCCATGTTGCTGTTGCATGTTTCGAGCCCGATTAGAGCAGTGGGCGATCGACCGCTGTCACAAAACAGCGGCGCCAGGATCTCACAGTGTTCCTCCCAGACCTTGGTCACGATGCGAGGAGGTCTCGGCCAGGCGGCAGATGCCCAGGGCGACGTCGGTGTGGTGAGCTTCGGTCGCAGATCATAGGGGCCTCGCATGTCCTCGCAATTTCGTCTTTCGAGTGCGCGCGCGTCTGGTCATCGTGCTGAAAGCGCCTATGTGGCATCGGCTGGCGTCGACTCAGCGTCGACTCGCATCGATGAGCGTCGACTAGCGTCGACTAGCGTCGAGTAGCGTCGAGTAGCGTCGATTCGCAAGAGCCAGCAGGCCATGAGCTGCCACCGAAGCGGGTTGTGCCCCCGCTCATGGCCCCGCGCCGTCCGGGCCGGCGCGACGACACATCCCCCGCCGCCATGGCCCGCATGCTCGCCGCGCCCTCGCGCCCAGGGCGCGCGGTCACCCTGCTCGTCGTCGCGGCCTGCGCCAGGCCAAGGGGAGCCTGCGCAGGGGCGGACTCCAGTCAGACGGTCGAGGTTCGAGGTTCTCCAAGTCGAGGTTCCAGTCTTCAAGCGTTTTCGTGGGTTCTCGGCTGCTTCCTAGCCTTGGGATGTCTTCCGTCAGCTGCGCCTCGCCGGGAGCGTTCCGGGGGTGCCCGGATCGTCCCGAACGGCCGCCAGAGAGCCGAGTTATGAACCTGAACCTGGCGGCCACGACGGCGGCGACGACGACGATCTCAGGAGTACGAGTTGAGTCAACGGTAGTTGGCCTTCGGGGGGCCCCCTCGTCGCTAGGCTGGACGCAGCTCGAAAAATTGGTGCGTTTGCACCCGAGGAGAGGTCCAGGGGGCCGATCGTGAGCCCCGACTTTGAGCTGCCGATTTTGCAGGGTAGGCGCCAGGCCAAGGGGCTTTTCCGTTGGAAAGAACTACTGTAAGTTCACGTCGTGTCGACCGGCGGCGATCTCGTTGCTGGCGTTCAAAGTTTAACGCCGGCGGCGGCCCAGGATCGGTCGATGATGAACGGTCTGACGTTTCGGAATCGGCCGATCGTTCAAGGTTGAACGATCCCCGCGGTGCCAGGAACCAACGCCGGGGTCGACACGACACGAATTCGCGTCAAACAAGCCCCGAGGTCCCCCTCCGTCGAAGCGCATGCGCGACGCGCAGAAGGGACGCCGCTGATTTTCTTCCTCGCCAAATCGGCTCTCTACTCCAAACTCCGCCCGCTGTGTAGAGCGAGGGGGGAGGGGCATGGAGGAGGAGGACGAGGAGGACTTGTAAGAAAAGGAGGGTGAAGGAGGGGGTTTTCGTTTCTCTCTTACCCCTCTGTGCGGCCCTCTGTGCGGCGCGCACAGGTGGGTAGGGGGGGAGGGGGGAAGGCTTCTTCGAAGGACGCTGTTTCCTGGAAGGCGCGCCGCTGACCCCCGCCGACGCGCAGGACCTGCGCCCTGGCTTCCCGCGAGCCCCACTCGGCGCTGCCCGACGACGCGCTGCCGGACGACGCGCAGCTGCTGCAGGCCGCGCGGCCCCGCCCGCGCGGTCGGGCGCCGCCCGCCGCCGGCGACGCCGCCGCCGCGGGCCGCCGCCGAGCCGCCTCGGCCGACGCGGCCGCCGGGCGGCGCGGCGGCCGCGACGACGACGACGACGACGACGACGACGACGACGACGACGACGACGACGACGACGACGACGACGACGACTACGACGACTGCGGCGGCGGCGGCGAATGCTGCGGAGGCGGCGGCGGGTCTCCAGCGGCCGCCCGGGGTGACCTGGGCACCGCCCGACCGCCCATGGCAAAGACGGTGCAGACCAGGCGCGCTCGCGTCGCGAACCAAAGAGAGGGCCGGGGACGTTTTCGGCTGCTTTCGGCCTCGGGAGGGGGCCCTCACCTGGCCCAGGGGGCAGTCAGAACACGGCTCAGGCCGAGAAGCCGGTCCCGGGGAGAGGTCGGTGCTTCCGGGACCGCGCCCTGAAAAAGTCCAGGCGCCGCGCGTCTAGGAAGAGGACCCCCAGGGCGACGGTCGAAGAGGCCCCCGAGACGGCGCAAGGGGGCCCAAGAGAGCCCCAGGGCGGCTCCCAGAGGCCCCCAAGCCGGCCTCCGGAGGGGCCTTACGCGGCGCAAGGTCGCCCCGAGGCGGCCCCGACACCCCCAGAGCCCCGCCGTCGCCGCCGGGTGCCGGCGACGACGATGGGCCTCTGGCGGCCGTGCGGGGCGGTGTGGGCGTCGCCTCAGGTCGGAGCAGTTTTTCGCGACCTGCGCAGGCCAGACGCAGATCGGAGCAGTTTCACGTCCTGCTCAGGCCGGAGCGGTGTCACGTCCTGCTCAGGTCGGGGCAGTTCTGCGACCTGCTCTGGTCGGAGCAGTTTTACGACCTGCTCAGGTCGGAGCAGCGTAGGGACCTGCTCAGGTCCGAGCAGTTTCACCACCTAGTCAGGTTGAGTGGGCACCGCGAGGACTGTTCGGCATCAGCGCCACAGGGACGGAAGGCAGGCAAGGCATTTTTCGATTTCGCCTAGCGCTTTTTGTTCGAAATCGCTGAGCAGGCAAGGACGCAGCCAAGTTTACACAGGGCCCTGGCTGGGCATCCCCTGAACGCCCTCGGCGACGCTGGACACGGTTTACCAATTGAACAACGAAATTCCAGTCACCCGCGGCCGTTCGGAGCGATCTGGCCGTCTGAAACAGGCGGTGGGCTTGCCTCTCCAGTCGCCCCTGCTCTTTTTTGTTCCTCTCTCTTCCTCCCTCTCGAGGTCTCTCTCTCTCTCTCTCTATATATATATACACATATGTATATGTGTGTGTGTGTGTGTGCGTGTGTGTGTGTGTGTGTGTGTGTGTGTGTGTGTGTGTGTTTGTCTCCGCGTCTTCCCCGGGAACTCCGACGACTAGTCGCACGGGGCACCGCTGCTTCGCACCAGCCTCGGCTTGAAGGGATCTGGCCCCTCCGGGTTCCGGGCTCCCGTGGAGAACCCCTCGGCCAGGCCGGAGAACGCCCAGGTTGTCGGCGAGGGCGGCCAGCCAGCGCAGCACCCTCCGTGGCCTGCACTCGCGACGCCGAGAGCGCCCGGGCGAGGGGGGTCCGCGGGCCACCGAGGGCTGCGGAGGCCGCCGCGCCGCGGGTCAGGGGCGGCGTGGCCGACCCCCGTTTCTCCTCCTCGTCCTCTTCCCCCCTTCCCCCTCCTCGTCCCCCTCTGACCACGAAGTTCTCCTCCTCGTCCCCCCTTCCCCCTCCTCGTCCCCCTCCTCGTCCCCCTCCTCGTCCCCCTCCCCCTCCTCCTCTGATCACGAAGTTATTCGCGCTTCGCGCAGCGCAGAGCGCGAAGTGAGGCGCCCTTTGGCCCAGACGCCCCCGAACACACTTTGAATCGGATGCTGTTCTTTAGAGACGTCCGTTTTGGACCCGTCGACCCCTTCCCCGGGAATTCAGTTTTGGTTCGAGCCGCCAGATGTCCCAGGAGGAGGAGAAGGGTGACACCTCCAGAGGTATCCAAGATGTCGCGGGGTCTTGTCGACGCCGATCTTGGTCCATGCTGACCGTCGCCGGTTCGCGAAGATGATCCACGACTTGACGAGGACCAAGACGGGCGATGACAGGTCGTCACCGACGTTTCCGCGTTTAGGTCCTCCGAGGAGGAGTGATGATGATGGTGAGGAGGAGGAGGAGGAGGAGGAGGAGGAGGAGGAGGAGAAAGAGGAGGAGGAGGAGGAGGACGAGGAGGAGGATACGTCCAGATGCATGCAGAGGTGCTCGGAGGCTTACGGAGGCTTCCAGGGACGTCTGCGGGCTGAAAGAGGGGCCAGAGCGCCGGGGGGGGCCACGAAAAGTCCCTACGGTGGCAGAGAGAGGCGAGAGACAGAGAGACAGAGAGACAGAGAGAATGGAGGAAGAGAGAGAGAGAGAGAGAAAAACAAAAAAAAAAAGAGAGATGGAACGACAGAAAGAGAGAGCGAGAGAGAGGAGAAAAAGAGACAGAGAGAGAGAGAGAGAGATAGTCTAGAACCCTCTATCCGCCCACGACGGCTGCGCGGCTCTCCTCCATAGGCGCCAGAGCTGCTGAAGATGGCCCTGATGCAGACGTCCTTCGAGGTCACCTTCGGCAGGGACCCGCGCCGACATTCGGCTTGGGATTGATTGAATCACTTGCGCTTGTTCATTGTTTGTCTTGGCATCGCTCGGACGTGTGCATAGGACCATAGAGGAGCATGTTGGGGCATCTTGCCTAACGCACGGCATCGAAATATGCACGAGGAAATCATGTCCGAGCGATGGCAAGTTGACCTTTGGCCAGTTGAGCGACGGAAGGAAACGGGGCCGATTGCGTGGACATTCGCGCACACGCTTCTCGCGCGCAAGGTCGCGAGTGAGCGCTCGCATTTCCTCGCAGTGTGCCACGCTAGAGGCCCGCGTACGGACGGACCGGGATGGTCAGTGCGGGGAGGGTACCCCCATGTTCTTCGTGTCCGTTGGCTGTTTGCGTGCATCCGGGGGAGGGTACCCTTGCATGTTCTGTGCGTCTTCGCGCTCGGAGGGTCTCGTGTTCGTGAGGGGTGTGTGTTTCTGGCCTGGGCCCGACTGTGAGCCGTGGCGCATGCTCGCTGTGTTTTCTCAGTTGGCCTCGAGCTAGCGCAGCATCTAGCCGATGCCTCCCCTCAAATACACCCCTTGACGAGCGTGGCCATGGGGCATAGGAGTACTCATCGAGCTGCCTGCGGTCAACTTCGCCAACGTACCGGCGCAGTTTCGCAGCAGGAAGGAGGTCGGGTCTACGACCCACTCCAGCTCCCTCGTATTTGTGAACTGGCGCGGGTCTCTCAACCCCCCCTCCTTGCCACCGCCTCGTTCTCCCTTTTTTGTCCATGATTCCTCGTCCTGTTCTGCAGGCATCTTGTCAGCTTCCTGGGGGCCTCTTGGGCTCCCTTGGAAGCCTCTTCGGGATCCGCTGGCTTGGCATCGCTCGGACGTGTGCATTTTTCCTTCGGCGAGGGCCATCGAGGAGCATCCCTGATCATTTGGCGAAAAATCCACGCACGAAACCGAACAAAAAAAACAGGGAACGGACGTCCGAGCGATGGCGAGCTGGAGGCTCTTTGGGGGCCTCGGGCGCGGCCGGAGGGGCGTCCGAGCGAGGCTGGGGCGCTCTTTTCTGGGCCCTCCGGGGCCGCCGCGGGGACAGCCGAGGCCGTCTTGGGGTAGGATGGGTGCGCTCTTTGAGAGTCTATTTAAGTCGGGCCTGTCCTTAGTGGGCCCTGGAAACGACAGGGCCGTTTTTTCTTACCGGTTCCGTTTTGCCGTTTTTTTGCTGGTTCCGACGCCGTTTTTTTACCGGTTCCGTCGCCGTTGTTTGACTATTTTTTTGCAGTTTTTTTGCCGTTCCAATCTTGGAGCAGTTTTTTTTGCCGTTTCCGGTCGCCGTTTTTTTGCCGTTCCCATTTTCAAGGGACATTTTTTCGGAAACGGTGAAAAAACGGCCCTGCTGTTTCTCCGTTTCTGGGGCCCACAAAAAGCCTTTCCCTCTACAGGAGGAACGTTCAAAAATAGTGACAAATAGTCCGGGGACTATTTTTTGAATGCTTTTTGGCCATCTGGGGGCATCCGAGGCCGTGTCTTGGGGCCGGATGGGTGCGCTCTTTGAGAATACTCCAAATCCCTTATTCATCCTCCAAGGCGCTTTTTCTGGAACTGGGGGGGGGATCCGGTTTATTAGGGCGCTCTCTTTGGATTGGAGCTCAGGGGTTCGACGGCGCCCCGTCGAAGAGGGGGTCCGGAATATGAGGTCGCATTTGGGGGGGTCTAGTTTTTTAGGGCAGGTCGATTAATAAGAATTTGGAGTGTATATGTGGGTGTCTTGGAGGCTTCTTGCGAGGAAGAAAAAACGCCATGAACATAAACTTTTGGCGCTGCGCGCGGATTTCCTGGATCCGCGCTGGGTCCCTCCAGCGGCGCCTCCGGCGCCGCCCCTGGCGCGCTCCGCGCGCCAGGGAGGGGGGTCCAGCGCAGATCCGAGAAATCCGCGCGGAGCACCAAAAGCTTATGTTTATGGCGGTTGTTCGTCTTCTAATGATTCCGAACTGCACTGGAAGAAGAGCCACCCGCGTTTGGGCGTCGGTGAGCAACAGAGGGAGGTCGGCCGTAGAAATTGCAGAAACCCTACCATGCAACAGGGTAGAGCTCTTACACGCTTCAATGTGCCGCTGGCACGGTGGCGGATGAATGGAAGCGCGCTAAGTTTCGAAGCGTCGCGCGATGGACGACGTTTGCGACCCAACGCCCCAGTGGTTGCGTTCACATGCCGCCCCTCCCCCTACTTTGGCACGCCCCTCCCACGCTTCGCGGCCCTATGGGGAGCTCCACCCAAGGCCACATTGGCTGCGTTCACATGCCGCCCCCCCTCCACTTTGGCACGCCCCTCACACGCACGTTTCGTGGCCCCATTGGAAACTCCACCGAATGCCCCAGTGGCTGCGTTCACATGCCGCCCCCCGAAAGCCCAAGTGGCGATGTCCGCATGCGTTCCCCCAACCCAATACAGCGCTTCGTGGCCGCACCGAAGGCCCACCGAAGGCCCCAGTGGCGGTGTCCGCCTGCGTCTCCCCCGCCCAGTACGACGTTTCGTGGCCCCATTGGAAGCTCCACCGAATGCTCTAGTGGCGGTGCCCGAATGCGTTTCCTTCGCCTAGCACAGCGCTCCGTGGTCCCATTGGGAGTTACACCGAAGGCCCCAGTGGCGGTGTTCGCATGCGTCTCCTTCACCCAGTACAGCGTTTCGTGGGCCCATAGGGAGCTCTACCGAAGGCCCCAGTGGCAACGTTCGCATGGCGGCCCCGCTCCAGTTCGGCACAACCATCACACGCTTCATGGCCCCATGTGGAGCGCCACCGAAGGCCCCAGTAGCAGGGTTCGCATGTGTCCCCGCCCCATTCCGGCACACCATTTATCCGCTTCGCGGCCCCTTCAGCAAATCCACCGACGGCGATGACCACAACGGCGATATTCACAATTGCATATGGTTGGGCCTTTCGCATGGATGATTTATGTATCGCAGTGTTCTCGGTCCTTCAGTTGCTCTTGGTTTTTATCTTCGCACACGATCTGAGGCCACGGCCTCATCGCCCTGCCCACATGGGCACGGGCACATTTGTGTGCCCGACTCCAGCACCTTTGCTTCGCTTCGCTTCGCATCGCCTGCCGCTGCAGTGTTGGCCATACATGAGGATCGGCGCTGTGCTGCCGTCGCTCGGCATGGCGCTCTCCCAGCGCGGGGCACATCTCTGTATTCGGTTCCTTCCTCGTTGTTGCCCTTCCCATCTCTTCCCCTCCTCCGCCTTCCCCTGCTGCTCCTGCTCCCGCTTGCTGCTGAACCTCCTACCCCTCCTTTCTCATCCTCCTCCCCTTCCTCCTGCTCATCCTCCTGCTTACCCGCCACCTCCTCTGATGTGCCAAGCCCTTCCCCCTTCTGTTTGGGCACCACACGTGGCGGCTCATGCTGAGGATCAAGGTCCTCTCGGACACCCCAGTCGCTGCACACAACATAAATCAGAGCAATGTGAAGGGATGTGTGGGAAGGAAGTTTACGTAGGGTGTCAGATAGACGAAATCCTTTATTAATCCCCCCCTCCAATTGCGACCTAACATTCCGGACCTCCCTCTTCGACTGGGCGCCTTAATAAACCGGACCCCCTAAGCTCCAATCCAGAGACAGCGCCCTAACAAACCGGACCCCACCCAGTTCCCAAAGAGGCGCCTCATAAAACCGGACCCGGGGGACGATGAATGAGGGATTTGGAATATTAGCGCGAGCGGGCCCAGCTTGCCCCTCTCCCCTCTCCGGACCAAGCGTCTCCATCAGACCAAACGTCTCCCGCAGGGGTGAGGGCGAAGGGCGCCTTGGTAGGGCCCAGTTGGAGGCTTACAGGGGGGGGGGGGGGCAGGCCAGTTCTACAGTGGAGGCCCATGCCAAGAGACACCCTGCTTGCCTCCAGGGTGCCCTGAATTTCTTGGGTTTCGATGGTTTTGCTATGGACAGCGTGACGTTCCCACACCAAGAATCGGTGGACGTCCTGGGGTCTCAGGGTTGGGTTTCTTGTGGATGGTTTCTTGTGGTCGGGCCCCTATACTACATTCGATTTCGCCCATCAACGCAACAACAGTGAGGGCACTGCGACCTGACGGTTCGCATCAAGACGGCCGTACCATCCAATAATGTATCAACAGGGTGTGCGACATCGTTTTTGGTTCAAGCAATCGTTTTTGTCAAGGGCCAGTCTAGTCCACAGCCCAGTCGATGAGTGACCAAACATTTGTAGTGACCATGACCTGGATACCTCATTGCATGGTGTGCGGCGTCAGCTTGTGGAGCATCGCAAGCAAATTTTAGCTCTCATATTCACATGGCCCAGCAGCCGAGTCTAATCCACAGCGCACGGAGCAGGGCGATTAATTTTCGAAGTGCGAGTTTTGTAGCATAGTGGCACGATGTCGAACTTGAGCGTATGGTGATCGAGCTGTCTCAATTCCTCCGACGGTCGGGCCCCACATGAGAATAGGTTTAGCTTGCCTAGGGATCTCCTCCTGCCCCCTCCCTTCTCCCACCTACTCCTGCCTCCTCCTTTTCCTCCTGCCTCCTCCTCCTGCCTCAACCCCTGCCTCCTCCTCTTGCCTCCACCACCTCCTTCTCCTCCTTTTTCTCCTCCTCGTTATGCCTCCTCCCCCCATTCCCCCTGCTCCTCCTCTGCATCCTGCGTCCTCCTCCTTCTGCTTTCCCTATCCCTATCCCTCCTCCTCCTCCTCCTCCCCCTCCTCCTCCTCCTCCTCCTCCTCCTCCTCCTCCTCCTCCTCCTCCTCCTCCTCCTCCTCCTCCTCCTCCTCCCACCGTAGCCATTTTGGCTCAAGCCGTTTTGGCTCAAGTAAAACATCTCTCGAGGTGGCGCAGGGGCCTTGCCAACTCGAGGCGCACAGGAGTCCGCACCCAGGACAGCACCTGGGAGTCGTACCCTTTACATTTACAGTCTCACATTCGGCTACTGTTTTTTTTCTCCTGCTCCGTACATCAGCAGCCATGGCGATTGACCCCGCGCTGCAGGCTTCCCTTGAGGCCATGTTCG